TCCCAGCATGAGGAACCACGTGCTGCCTGTCTGCATGCCTGACCCAGCACAAAAACACTGGCAGCCAGAGTATGCTCCGGGCTCAGCACCGCTGGCTGCCTGGGCTGGGCCGCTGCAGTCTGAGAACATTCTGTGAAGCTGAGGTGTCTCAACTAATAGTGCAGATTTAATGCATGCTGCTGCATTTTGAGGCTGCTGTTGAGGTAAAGTTTTACTGTCTGGTAGTAAAATAAATGGATACGTAAATTTTCCAGAGCACCTGAAGGAGAGAGGAGGCTGTTTGGTAGCCAGGTTGCTAACACTGGTGCTCTGCCACCCACAGGGATGACTGCCCAAGCACAACCGCCTGGAAGGAGGAGGGAGCATCAAAGTACAGCAGCTGTAGCTCCTTTCCCAGTGACCACATTCCAGTGTGAACTGGCTACAATACATCCCAGTGCTCCATTCAGCTGGGGACAGGGAGTTGGTTTGCTGCCCCACAAAGCAAAAGGAGGGGGGACTGTGCAGAGGTGGGACTCCAGCTGTATGCTATTTAGGGGGCAGGTGGGAGAGAAAATGTTCATTGGGATCAGCTGTTGTGTCTCCACAAAACAAGTACTCCTTGTCTTGCAAGGGGGGTAGGATTTCAGTGTTTCTGTAGAAGTCCAAGATGGAGTTTTTCTATAAGCAGTGAATTTGCTTAGTATTGCTTGAGGGTTTTTTTCTCCTACTTTCTTCACCATTTCAGCAGACAGAGCATGGGTAATGAGGAAGAAAAGCAGGTGAGTTTTTCAGAATTTAGGGGGAGCATTAGTCCTTGTTGGAAGGATCCAGTCCCTAGAGAAAATGGTATGATGAATTCTTGACTAGCTTAAAGTAACAACAAAAAATATTTTTGTAGGGGCTGGGTACAGTCTTTCTGGGGGAAGAAAAGGTGGTATAGATCCTAGAAAGGAATCTGTAGCTGACTTAGGTACAGGTAATCATACCTGTGCAGGAATGCTGAGTTTCTCTGGCTTCCTTAATTATAAATGCACTCACAGTTTTCCTACTGTTTCAATCACACATTAGTGTCATCCTTTCTTTGTGGTTTTGGTTTTTGGGATTTGCTTGTTTGTGGGTTTGGGTTTTTGGGGGTTTTCTTGGTAGTGGTCAGTAAAAAAACAAATAGCCTGGTGTGGGTTTGATGAGGGTGCTTGGGCAGCCCCCAGGGCAGGAGTGCAGCCAGTGTCAGCTGTACCTCAGTGCTGTGCTCCTGCTCCGGGCTGCAGGCCCAGTGCACAGCTGTGCTCTTCTTGTGTGATGGTCTGCACACGTACAAACAAAATCACAAGGCCTGATGTGCTGGAAATAAAACACACGAAGATGTTTTCATCCTCAACAAGTACCCCAAACCCAACATCACTGTGATAGTCTGGTGTTATCCCTGTTTGGCAGAAGAGAAGTTGAGGATGAAAAGGGCACTGACTACCTGGCCAACTGCTGTGGTAGTGCTGTTCAGAAGGTGAGTTTCCACACCTTTTCTTCTGTTCATGCAGCTCCTGTGGCATCTTGGGAGTGTTGTGGTAACTGTCTTTGTAAAATGGTGGTCTTTAAAAGAGCTGATAGAATAAATTCTCTTACCCTGAGGTGTTCAAATATCACCCTAAGGTGATGAGATAGATACTTTACTGTTGCAAAGTTAAAATGACTCTCTTCAGTGTAACTCCATTATTCTTAATTTAAAAGATAAATATACCGTCGTTGTCAGACCAGATATTCCCCTTTGTCAGCATTTCATGGCTCGCTTCCTGGATCTAGATAGATTGATGATAGCTGCTTAATATTCTTTCCTTCATAACCAGCAATTTGAGAGTTGCCAACTCTCATGATGGCTGCTGTTTTTCTTAAAGCATCAGCTTGATGTACATTAGCCACACAAGAATCCTAGCTTGCTTTCTCTTTTTTTCAAATAGATAGTTGTAGAAAGCTTGAAAATGAGGATCTGAGCATCTAATGCTGGAGGCAAATAAACACATGACAGTATTATTTTCAAACTAATCTCATGAGTTGAGGAAGGGGTGATAGGTTCATTCATGGCTTTAGAACAATGTCAAAGGGAAGGATTTGATTTCTGACTCTTAGTTCCACTAGAGCCAAATGCCTTTTCTGGGAGTATCTTTGAAAATTGCTGGAAGACACAGCTCCACTGAAATCCCTGGTGACAACGAGGAAAGCTACTGAGCTGTGAAGGAATGGCATGTGGTAGCCAGTGCAAGCTGGTGTGAGTCAAATGTATTGGCCTTTGTGTCTTGACCCTACACATGTAATGAATGGTCTTATTGACTCTATGCTGGGAAGTTGTGAACAGTGTATGTTTTTAGGTGGTCCCTCTCACTTCATCTGCTCTCTCTTTGG